CACAGGGTTCCCTTCCAGAGGAATGGAGGTTAAACACTGCTTTGAGTTGACCCAGAGAGGCCAACTTTGGGAGCCAAGCCAGGCAGGACTCACGGCAGTGACAACTCACCCAGCTCCAAAAAAGCAAGGGAGGGGAGAAAGAAAAAAAAAAAACACCCCCAAACCAGGCAAACCCTTCCAGTTTTCCAAGGAAAACCCCAAATCCAGCAGCTGAAACCCCGCAGAGCCGTGTGGGAGCGGCAGAACGCGCGGCTCAGGGCGGGATGGCCAAGCCGTCCTTTCCGGGCACTCCAGCTGTGTTTGCCTGCGTGCTGCATTCCTGCCTCGCCAGCCCAGGCCAGGTTTTGTTTTTTTGGGTTGTGCTGGGAAGCAGCTGCTCCATCTCACACACGCCAGAGCCCGGCGGGCGCGCCCGCGAAGCCACCGCGGCCTGGCCACGGCCTGCAGGCCGCACATGGCCCCACACCACCCTCCAGTGACAGCCACACACACACAGGGGACCTGCCATCGCCCAGCGTGGCCCACGGGCTGGAAAAACAGGCAGAGCTTGTGTGGGATTGCTTCTCCTGGAGGTGACATTCCAGCTGACGCTGGAACTCGCGGCGACTTCGCGCTCCGCTCAGGAACCCACCCCAGAGCGCTCACAGCGCCTGAAGAGCCCCTTCAAACCCAACATCCCGCTCTTTTCTAAGGCTCTCTTAACAAAATCACACCCTGAACAGCGAGGTTTCTATCCTACAGCAGAGCAGGGCACCTATCCTGCACCTGCCAAAGGGAATAAAAATACACGGCGCTTCCCACACGGCAAACCACTCTCGGGAGTGCTGTGGTGGTAAATTAGGGCAAGCTATGCTTCCCCTCCCTCCCTCCCTCTCCCCCCGTGAGCATTTGAGGGTTCCTGTTGCCTGCGTGCAGGGGACAGATCAGTTACATTTATGCAGAACATTGCAATCTGTCAATATAAACACTATGTAAGCATGAGCCACTTGTAACATTACTACTGTCTTGACAAGTGTTTGCAGAGGGGGGCAGAGCTGCTGGGATCCTTCTGCTCCCAGAGGGAAAGCAGAGCAAATCCCAACCGGCAGGAAAAACATTTCTTCCAGCAAGCAAATCCCAACCGGCAGGAAAAACACTTCTTCCAGCAAGAATTTTAAAAAAAAAAAAAAAAAATTATTTTTTTTAAAAAAGGTGCAACAAAACTGAGTCAGATTCTAAATCAGAACCCGCTTCCAGCAAGAATTAAAAAAAAAAAAAAAATTATTTTTCTTTTAAGGTGCAACAAAACTGAGTCAGATTGTAAATCAGAACCCACAGAAATCGAGGAGGGTTGATTTATGGCCTGGACCACCTCAGACCCAGGGATCAGGCAGCTCAGGAAAGCAGAAGCTCCTACGGGCTGGTTCCCCTTCCCACCAGCACAGGGCACAGCAGGACTGAAGTTCCTCAGCCACCCTGTCACCCCAGCATGGCTAATCTTGTCACCTGCCACTTCCAAAGCCCAGAAGTGCAAGTCCCAACACAATTCCCAGATGCTGCTCTGGCATTTCCACCACCCCCAGCCACACTGGAGAGAGGAAAGGGAGGGAGGGGAGATACCCACGCCCAGAGCGTGTCAGGCACCGGGAAAGCAGAGCAGGGAGGAAAATGAAATGCAATGCTTTCTCAGGGATCCCGGCAGCCTGGGGCTGCTCCAAAACCCCCCCAGCAGGCTGCTGGAATATGGTGCAAATTAGTGTTCAGACAGCCCAGCTGCAGAGGCCGTGGCTGGACATAAAAGCAGCCTCACTTCTGGGGCAGCCAGTGCATCCCAGCAGGCTGACACCGAGCCCGAGGCAATGCCTCCCCCTCTGGGGCAGGCTCAGCCTCTCCCACAAAATTCATCATCATCATCCTCCTGAGGGGCAGCTCTAAATGCACAAAAAGCCAGCAGGGCTGTGCTCAGTTTTACAGGCATGCTTTTTTCTCTCTGTCAAAAAGTTTCTTATCAGCCAAGGTTTTAGGAGCTGTGGCATCACCAGATCCCCTGATCCCTGCAGCCAGGCTCTTCCAGTTGTTTCCCGGGAGTTAGGGCTGAGCCAAACCCCTCAAAACTCCTCCTGAGCAGGTGCCTGCAGGCTCTCAGCTCTGCTCAGCATCACTGCAGGTGCTGCTCCTGGGCAGTAACCCTGGGTCCTGCTGGCACCTGCTCCAGGGAGGAGGGCAGCAACACCCAGCTGCCAGAATTCCCCTCAGAAAAAGGGGAAAGCTGTCTCTCCCTCCACAGACCATCACCTTCAGCACATCTCCCAGTCAGGCAGACTGGGCATGGAGCAAAACAGCAGCAAGAGCCCCACCTGCACCACAGCTTGAACTCCCACACACACTCCAAACTCTGCTTCCAGAGGGCATTTATCCTACTCAGCTGCTTGTGCATCCCTCCAAGAACACCAGAGCAGACTTCCAGGGAAGCAGCAGCAGCCTCCAGCCGTGGTGTCCCCAGCCCAGCATCCCTTCCTGCCACCCCCCAGGGCAGGCACAGACATAACTCCATGCTGACACAATCTCATTATCCTGTAACCATGCCCCATTTCTGTCCCTGGGCACTAATTCCCCACCAGGCCACACATTTGGAGACATGGAATTCTTTCCCTGAAATAAGACATTGGGGCTGGGGGGGGAAGGGATCATCCACAGCTGTCTCTATCCCACTCCAGACTGAGGAAGGGAGCAGCCAAGCTGCAGCCACAGCGTGACATCTGCTTAGAACTGCCTCACTCTGTGCCCCACCACCTCCTCCACAGGGATGCCAGCACCCAGAGCAGCCAGCAGGCCACCAAAAGGTGACTTTGGGACTCAAAAGAAGCATCCCTTTCCCTGCCTGGAGAGTGTGTTTTAGCTCAGGTCATTCAGCCACGTTGTTAGCAAGGATTTACCAGAATGAACAGATGTGCTGCCTCACCTGGAGCAGCTCCTTCTTGCACGTGGCAGAAGAAAAAATATCAATACCAGCCTTCCCAGGGCACTTGCAGAGAGAACTGGGAAGTTGTGCAGGAACATCCAGCTTTTACCAGGTGGGATTTCTTTCCTTACCAACAGACAGAAGCCCACAGCGAGGAGGGCTCAGCTCTTCCACACACACTTGTCAGGTCTCACTGTGGATTATCAGGAGCTGGGATCTCAGCACTGACTATTCCCCAGTGTCCCCAGCAGCTCTGCAAGTGCAACCTCTGCTCTTGGAAGAACAAAGAGGGGATCAGCTGCTCCTTCGCTGGGGCTTTAACCAGAGACAAGGAGGCTTTGCATGAGCAAACTCCACTGCACACCACAGCAGCCCTGGAGTGCACATCTGGCTGGGTGCACATCTGGCAGCATCTCCTCTCCCCTCCTCACTGCCAGGGAGGGAGTCTCAAACCAGAAACAGCAGCTGTACCAAGACAGAGAAAAACCCAAAGCGGTCGGGACAGACAGCAGACACTGCCCTTGGCTCAGAATGTCCCTTCTAAAGTTAAAACCTCCCCAAGCCATGAGAGAAATCCCAGAAGGAACTGCAATGAGTTACCTGCTGCTCTAGAGCAGATAGCAGCACAGAAGGGATTAATAGGAGAGTTACAGCCCAGCTCCTTCCAAAGCCTGTCAGTCCCCAAGGCACAATTCAGCTGCACAGTGCCGGTGGTCCTCGGCAGACACATGAGCCAACGGGCTGGGAACAGCCCTCTGCACGCTGCCGAGGGAGAAAAGGGCTTTTCCTAAAAACCTGCACACACAGGACAGGCTGTTTCCTTAGAAAACCAGCCCCAGCAGCAGGAAGTGAAACGGTTCTGGAGTTGGAAACAGAAGATGTAAGTAGCACTGTTTGGAGAACTTTGCCAGACCACAAGCAATGGACAAGCCTCAACACCAGGATTTGTTTTACTGGAAAGAAGGGGGGAAAACCTCAAGTCTGCTAAAACATTCTCCAGGGCTGGTCCAGTGGCTCCTACCAGTGGTCACAACACAGCATCCCCAAAAAAAGGGAAAAAAATTAAAAAGAAGCAAGAATCCCCACTGTTGTGTAAACTTACACCAAAACCTCTTGCACAGGTGCTCGCGTCAAACCTCTCTCAAACCGAGAACATTTTGTGACAAATAGTTTAAAATTAAGGATAAGACGCAGCGACACCCCAAAAAGCACAGCGAGAAAACCCCGCACGGAGCTGAGGCTCCGCAACGCGGCTGCGGGGGGCGTTGAAGGAGAGCGGGTGGAATTGGCTGGTCCAGCTCACCGCACAGAGCCGGGACAGCAGGATCGGGGTGATGAAAAGAGGGGGATAAAACCCCGGGATAAGGGGGATAAATCCCTAGGATAAGGGGGGATAAATCCCCGGGATAAGGGGTCGGGAAGGGAGCGGGATCCACCTGCGCGGTGCGCGCCGGGCCGGGAGCGCCCCCTGCCGGCCGCGCCGCGCCCCGCGCACAGGTGAGCGCCGGGGATGCGCCCGCAGCCGCGGATCCCCCCAAAAAACAACCGGCAGCACCAGCGCCTGGTGTTGAAACCTGCGCTTTGATTGCGGGGGGAAAGGAGTTTTCTCCGCGCTGTCCCATGATGAGGTGGGGGTACAGCCCGCGGCTGGTGCGCTGCAGGTCCGCTCCGTGCGCGTCGCCCCCGCGGGGAACGGGGGAACGAAGCGCTCGCTCGGCCCCGGCAGCTCCTGCCCGCGGCCGCGGGACACAGCCCGGCAGCTCCCGCGGGGCTGCGGCTCGCCGAGAGCCCAGTCCCGAGCGGCAAATCCAAGGGGATTCCGGGAGCCCGGCTCCGGGCGCTGGGACACGGGACAGCCGCGGGCACGGCGCTGTCGCTGTCCCGGGCCGGCTGTCAGCGCCCGCGGGAGGGGATGCCCGCACCCCCGAGGGACGGAGGGTGTCCGCAGCATCCCCACCTCGAGCGAGACGCGCAAGGCGCAAAACCCCTTCAGCATCAAAAAAAAAAATAAACTCGGGCAAAAGTTAAGGAGCAGGAGCGGGGGGCACGGGGCACCTACCCGAAGTAGGCGGCGGAGGGCCGCGGGGCGCAGGCGAGCAGCCCTAGGAGCGCGCAGGAGGAGAGCCATCCCAGCAGGACGTGTCCATCCAGCATCTTGCAGCGGCGCCGGCGCTGCTCATCTCGTTCCCCCGCCGCGCCCGCTGCGGCCCCGCCGCCCGCCCCGCTTCTTATAGCGCGGCCGGCGGCGAGAGCCCGAGCGGCGGCGGGGCGGGCCGGGGAGGGGCCGCAGGGGGGGCGGGACACGGAGGAGAGGCGGGGGGGGACATGG